AATGTAGGCACCAATTGATAATCTGGAAAAGTGAAACAGTGATGCAGAGGGTCAAATAATTGGAACAGGACCTTTATCAAATCCTCCTCAGTGTTGGTGTTAACCAAGCTGATGAGTCTTCCATGTCTCTCACTGAATGAAGAACCCTCGGGAATCCTGGACATAAGTTCCTTAAGCTGAGGAGGGATCTTTACAAGGCTAATCTGAATTGTCTTTCTGCGAGCAGTTTCCATGTCCTGTGAAACAAGAACAAAGATGAAGATTCGAAACCCTTGAAATGGTTAGTCAATGCTCATGATGTTGTATGATGTCATGATGTTATGATTAAATACACCACAAATATTCACAAAGGCAAACATGGTAAGGCACACAAGTCACACAAGACAAACCCTTAGAGTTTAGGCCTGCATGAGGTCTGGGTATTACCCTCTTGAAGTTTGGTGGGCTCAACCTGTCCTATTAGAAGTAACCGGGTTCTAAGGGTCCCAATATCACTGGATTACTTTCATTGTTCATCGTTTCGATTTAGCCACTGAACTGGCGACCGAAATATCCCAGGAAAGCAACCCTCAATTGAGTGTAGTATCGAGTATCAACCAACCTCGGACTGCACCAAAGTCAGTTATCTCACTACCCTAAAAAGGCCAAGATGGTTCAATTAAGGTTCCTAAGGTCAGTTGATGCTTCACGACACCACGCGGCGGCCCCGTACTCTCCTTGACTGAACTCAAGGGTTACCGGTACACACCAAAGTGCCACATCAACGTAGCAGACTGCTTCAACCATGTCGGTATAACCCGCACAGTTCCCCCACAGCCTTGTTGCTACTTTCTAAGAAGGTATCCCCAGATCCGGGTTAGGATCTATAAAACTCCGATACAAGGCCCACAAATGTAAAAGCAAACAAGACAATCAATTGAAAACAAAGGTGATCTAAGCCCTAAGGTTACTCCACTTTTAAAATGTCCCCAGCAGAGTCGCCAGTTCTGTGATACGGTGGGAGAACTGACTATGGTTTTGCGTTTGTATTCGCAAATGTTTCGGTTGAGCAAGAGTCGCCACCGACTTTTTATTTTATCCTAAGGAAAGGTTTAAAAAGCACAGCAAAAACCTTTTGAGATGTTTTCTTGGGTTCGGGGAGTAGATTATAGAAAGGGAAGATATTAGCACCCTTTCTATCCATGGTTATCCATGGGCTCTTAGTTACTTGCTTAGATCACTTGCCTTTTTCTTTCAATTGTTTTAAATGGTGCTTGAGTGTGTGGGTTTGAAAATATTTTGAAAAGAAGCCAATGTGGTGGCAACCTTTGTAATGATCCATGTGGGGATGTATACAAAGGTGTATGTCTTTTGAAAAGGTTTTCATTTGTTTTTGAAAGTTTGTTTTGAAAGTGTAGTGATGTGTGGTTTTGAAATTAGGCAAGTGTTTTGTTTTGCAAGTTTGATTCAAGTAACTAAAAGGTTATCTACTCCTAAATTTCTCAAAAGATTATTGCTATGTTTTAACCCTTTTAACAAGTTTGTTCCACCACTGTATTTGGTGGACAACCTTGTGTTAGGATGTGAAAGGGACAGGCGCGGGTCATCGTTTAGACCATAATTGCAACGGCGTTAAATGTCTTTGGGCAATTTTCTTTAGGGGACTTGATCATTTATATTTGTTTGTTTTGAAAAGTTTTATCGAGGGACTATGATCATTCAAATTGTTTGCTTTGCCCAAAGAAGTTCAACATACAATATGGCCTAATTTTGAAAGGCAACAAAGTGGAGTACCCTAGGGGTGCAAGTGTGAGATGTGTTGTTTATTTTCATGCTCATTCATCTTGTATTAGGTCCAACTATTTTTTATCGTTTTTCGCATGCAAACCCTAATTCTAACATGTTATCATTAGAAAGCAATAAAGTGCGAAAATAAATTTACTAAGCTATTACAAAACCAAATATGGGAAGGGGGGTACAAATGTTCAAATGGGGATATTGACAAGTAATGTAAACCTAAAACTATTACATCAATTTTGAATATTTGCAATGTAAATAATGTACAATAATTAAATAAATAAAAATGGAATAAAATGCAAGATGCAAAAATGTTTTGTATATGTATGAAAAAAGGAAAAGTGTCATTTATGTGAAAAATATTAAAGACATTATTTTTTGGAGTATTTTGAATTTAGGGCAAAAACCCTAATTTTATTAAGGAAAATGTATTATTGTTTAATTTAATACAAACATTTATTTATTATGTACAAAAATAAAAATAAAAATAATGAAGTATATTATGAAAAAGTATTTTTTTTTGGTATCAAATATTAATAAAAATGAAAAATTCAAGTATTTTTATATTTTAACTTAAATATATTAATAAACATATATATATATATATATATACATATATTAAGTTCTTAAATATACATTATATACAAATAATAATAATAATTAATTTTTTTGAAAAATAGTATTTTTTATATGAAATATTTTCAGAGGATAATATGAAATAAAAAATAAAAATAGAAGTGTTTTTACATATTTTTCTATTTATCCTAAATAATATATATATATATGTATTTATGTATTAACTAAAGGAAAATCAAATAAAAATCAAAAAGTGGTGAGAAAAATATTTTCAAAATTTTAATATGCTGAGAAAAAATAAACAAGTTAAACAAAAAAAGAAAAAGTCAAAAATATTAAAAAATGAAGCAAATGGGCTCAGGGGGTTCATGAGTAATTAAGTGGTGTGAATAAGAAAAAATGCACAGGCCCAGCCCAAAGATCACTGTCTTCAACCTCCAGCACAAACATTTGAAAAAAACGCGCGCCCCTGTTCTTCAATGTCCAACTCTCGATTCCTGGCTTTTTAACAAAAACTCATAACACAACAAATGTTCAGCATGAAGAGACGATTCTAACCATGTATGGAACTTGACCTAACTCTCTAAGATGAGGGAGAATTTCTCCTCCCCCAAATCCTAACCTAGTTTTTCTGCCATTTTTAAACTCCAAATTCTCTCTACTCAGGCAAAAGAAATGAAATGTAAAGATATGTACATGTTCAGGACTATGAGTAGAACCTTGTTTCTTCACAAACTTAAGACTAAAGATACATGATAAGAGAGATACGAGTTCAAAGTTTTACCTGTGCAGTTGAACTTCTATCTGGAGAATGAGGAACTTCTAATGCAAGGTAATGATTGGAAAAGCTTCCTTGAGGTCCAGGGATGATGTTTCAATGCTTACTTTGTCTTGAAACTTCTTGTATCGAGCTGTGGAACTTCAACTGCAAAAGGAAAAAATGAAAATGGTGGAAGCTGTTAGAGGGATTACAGGTCAGGTTTTAGGTCATGGTTAGCTTGCATATATGCTAGGGAATGTGTATGAATTGATTTTGGTAAGAATGCTCGAGGGAAATGGGAGTTGGCACTCAAACTGCAGAGGCAACTCTGTTTTTGCAGTTTGAGGATGATTCTGAGATGGAGGGTGTTTTGGAGGTGCAAAGGTCGTGTCTTGGCTTGGTTATGTTCTATGGAAGGTGTTTGATAACTTTGTTCTTGTGTTAGTGAGCTGAGATTGAAGTTGGTACAAGTTATGGAACTTTTCTTCTCTCTTAAGCAACAAAAGCAAGTTGATGGTTTAGGTCAGTAGGGGGCCTCCTAATGTGCTGCATAATCTTCTCTTGATCAGAGCAACTTGTCCATAATCTTGTGCCAAAAGGATTTAGCTTGTACTTGTTGGATTTCTAAATTGACATAAAGCTAATCTTTTCAAAAATGGAAAGTTCACTTTATCTAGTTTAGGATTAATCTTGCATACAATGCTTGCACTCAAAGAACAACACTTTAACACATTGAATATGCATTAAATTATTGAGTATGGAATGGTTCAAGGACCTGTAATCAAGGGCATGCTGATTTAGAGAAGTTTACACAAACTATGAACATGGAAAATGGCCAATTCAAAGGTGAGTTTTTGCTATATTGTGAAATTCGAATCTCTCAAGTTATGAGGTTGTTTGAGAAGTTCTTGGACATTTTGGAAAGCTTGGAATGTGTATTACAATCCATCTTTGAAATGAAAGTTGAAATTCCAAGTGGAAGGGTATGGAAAATGGCCTTGAAGTGGGGTAGAAAACCTTGTCAAAATAGGTTAAAATTTCACTAAGTTAAAAATGGTTTAGTGCCCTTATTCAAAAAATTGTAACTTGAGATACAAGCTTCAAATGAGAAAACTTTGTGAATAAAAGTTGTAGATTATGCAACAAGCTACAACTTTCATGTTTTGACTTTTGTTTGAATCCAAATGGATCTTGGTGAAAAGATGGGGCAAAGTTGGGAAAAAATTAGGGTTTTTCATAACTTAGAAAAATTCTAAGTTATGAAAAATTCCATTTTCTAACCCTAATTTGCATTTTATGATTTCTTGGTGAACAAGTTTCATGATTTGGCATGTTTTGATGAAAAATGAATCTTGACTCTTGATTTTGACCAAAAAGTCAAAGTTTGACTTTTCAGTATACAGTCAAAATTGATCAATTGACTGGGAAATTCAACTGTCAATCTTGTGTACTTGGGATCTTTTGAGCTTGTTGAGCATGTCAAGATAATTCCATGGGGTCCTTGAGTCCATATGTGAGCTTGGCTTGCCCTTGGCTAGGTCAAACAGTCAAAAATTGCCTTTGTACAGTCAAAACCCTAAAAATGACCATTTTGCCCTTTTGGTGATCTGATCAAATTTCTTAGAGAATTGTGATCCAAACTTGATCAAATGGTCCATATGAGTTCAATATGTTGATGTGGGTCAATTTTCATGAGGTTTGACTGTCAATTGGCCACAGTTGACTTTTTCCCCAATACAGCTGATTTCTAGGTCAACTGTCCAATTGACTGAGCAAAACTTGGAATCAAGACTTGAAACTTGGCATGGGTAAACTTGGGAGTCCAACATGAAGCATGAAAGTCATCTTAGGCATTTTAGGTCAAAACATCCTTGGGCAAACACAAACCCTAATTTGAGTCCACAGTGCAAGGAGAAGTCTTGAGCAGAGGAAACCCTAACTGGATCTTGATCTTCAAAGGTCTTGTGATGAGAAAATGTTGAGGAAATGGGAGGGCAAATTTTGGGGTACAACACCGGTCTAGAAAGTTTATATCGTTCAACGTTCCCGGACATCCAAAAAAGGCATGCCAGATCCATAGGTCATGAGATGCAACTGCTTCAAGAATAACTGTGGTGGTTCCCTTATCCCCTCTAGTAAATTGTCCTTCCCATGCTTTAGGACAATTTTTCCACTCCCAGTGCATGCAGTCAATACTCCCAATCATCCCTGGGAACCCCCGCATTTCACTAACATGCAGTATTCTTTGCAGGTCATCTTGGGTTGGTGCTCTCAGATACACTTGCTCGTACAAGCGTATGATTCCTTTACAGAATCGACGTAAGCACTCCAATGCTGTAGTACCTCCTATTTTGATGTACTCATCGACCGCATCTGCTGCCACACCATATGCTAACATTCACATTGCTGTGGTACATTTTGCTAAGGGTGATATACCTTCTTTATTGGCTGCATCAACTCGCTGGGTGAAGTAGTTATCACTACTTGAAAGGTCCCCAACGATTTGAAGGAAAACATTTTTTTTCATCCGGTACCGATGACGAAACATTGCATCGTCATATGTAGGCTCATTGGCAAAGTAGTCGTCAATTAGTCTTTGGTTTGCCGCTGCATGATCTCTATTGAGATATTTTCTACTACGAGGTGCATTATCTTCCAATATTTTGTTTCTACGCTCTCTAAATCGATTGACTATATAATTTTCTTCAATTTCACGATTTTGATTGTAGGCTGCGATATCAAAATGATATTGTGATGGATCCATTTTTTTGTGATATTGGAGGTAGATTGGATGGGATTTGGGATATTGGTACATAAATGGATGTATGAGTCCCTATATATAAATGGATGTGGGTGGTGGACCACTGACGGATTCGAAATAATTTATTGTATATAGTTAATTATTAGATAAGGAATAGATTCGAATTGGGTGGTGGACCACTGACGGATTCGAAATAATTTATTGTATATAGTTAATTATCAGATAAGGAATAGATTCAAATTGGGTGGTGGACCACTGACGGATTCGAAATAATTTATTGTATAGAGTTAATTATCAGATAAGGAATAGATTCGAATTGGGTGGTGGACCACTGACGGATTCGAAATAATTTATTGTATAGAGTTAATTATCAGATAAGGAATAGATTCGAATTGGGTGGTGGACCACTGACGGATTCGAAATAATTTATTGTATAGAGTTAATTATCAGATAAGGAATAATTAAAGCAAACACTACACTGGCATATTGAAACAACAATAATTAAAGCAAACACTACACTGGCATATTGAAACAACAATAATTAAAGCAAACACTACACTGGCATATTGAAACAACAATAATTAAAGCAAACACTACACTGGCATATTGAAACAACAATAATTAAAGCAAACACAACACTGACAAATACTTCATTGAAATTAATTATCAAACAGTTCTGCCTCCAACTTTTTCAACAGCTGGTTCTTCCGGTCATCTAGATGCTCTTCGGAAGTTAGCTTTAGATACATCTTCATTTTCTTGGTTTTAGTCTTCTCCAAGGCTATATTGTTAGCCTGTTGTTGCATCAACGCTATGTTGTCCAATCGTTCAAGCTCTTTCGTCTTGAATTCTTTGTATTCAGCCCATTCTTTGTCCACCACCTCCGAGGCATATTCCTTGCTTTTCTTTTTACCCTTTTTTTTAGCTTCCTCCCTTCCTATAGGACGAGCACTGGATTCTACAGTGTTTGAGCCACATGCATCACTCTCGCGAGATCTCTTAGATCCACTACTTCCTGAGCCAATATTTCCTCCTACTTGACTACCATAACGTGGTTGATCACGGAGAGCGTGCCATTCTTCCATTAAAGTGAATTTAACATTCTTCCCACATGCATATAATTCCTGCGCTTTTGCCAAAACATCATTCTCCGACCAACCACTTCCTTGCATACGCTTAGCGCCATCATAAGCGCCAATCCATTTACCCAACACTTTGTTCATATAATTAAAACGGTTTCGGCATGCAGGTCCATCACGCGGAGGATCGAATGAGCAATGCTCATTACAATACTCAGCAATTTTACCCCAATATGTTTCACCTTTCTGGTTTCTCCCGACAACACTGATTGTTCCAAATTTAATCCACCCACTAATTAGAACCAAATTTTGTTCAGTGTTCCATGCTGGTTGCTGAGTTTTCCTGCTCTTAGGAGTTGAATCCTCTGAATTTGGACCGACTTCATTAGAAACAATCATGCCACCAATAGTTAGTTGTGTTGAAAACTCGGGAAATTCAGGTACACCACCACTTGGAAAATTTGCATTCGCCATTGTCACATAACCATTAAACGGGGGTGTTTGAGATGGATTTCTCGGCATAGATCCATAATATGTTTGAAAGTTTGGAACAGAGGATGTCTGGTTGAAATTTGGTGGAAAACCAAAATTAGGTATGTTTTGAGGATGTTGGTTGGAAAATTGATTTGGATTTTGATAATAGTTGGGATTTTGATAATTGTTGGGATTTGGAAAATTGTTGGGATTTTGGTTAAATGGAAAATTAGCAGAATTTTGAGTGTTAAAATGATTATTGGGATCCATTTCACTAAAAAAAGACACTTAACTTCAAAATAAACACTAATAATAAAATTAAGATAGTGAAAAACTTAGTTTTTTTTCTGTGTCCAAATCAAATGAACCAAGTCTCTATTTATAGAGAAAAAAAAATCATGAATTTTGGTATAAAAAAAAAAAAATTTAATTTGCAACGAAATAATTGAGTTCAAAGTATTAAATGGATAAAAATCTGGTCAGCCAATCAAGCACAGCCACGTGGCTGCACTTATCCCTTTTCTCTTTCTCTCTCCGCGTGGATTAAGACCCACTCTCACCCCCAGCGAGTGGGCTACACGCGCCTGGCCCAGACCAATGAGGCGCTGCCACGTCATGCCCTTGGTCAGCTTCAATTGTGTTGAGTTTTCTCAACACCTCTCTCTTCCAACACACACTCAACACCTCTCTCAACACCCATTGGAGGAGATTTTGCATGTTGAGTTCAAACTCAACATACCCATTGCACATGGTCTAAGGTCGGCCGTGCAAAATCTTGATGTTTTAAATTATGCCTGACATACAACTACCAACATTGTTAAGCACTAACACATTTCTAGTCTTCCATAAAGTTCAAACAACCACCGTTCAAACTAAATTTTCTTTGTCTAATTTCACCTTTATGGATTTGCAAAAATCATGCCAATGTAAAAAACTACCACAAATATCTTTCAAGTTCAAAAAACGACATTCCCACCCAATCCACAATTTTTTCCCAAACCTTTTGAGAAAACATACAGAATAACAGAAAATGAGGCAACTTCTCATAAACATCACAACAAAACACACAATTGAGATCAACTGAAGAAAAAAGAACACTATTTAAAAATAATTGTTCTTCGAAATCAATCTACCCAAAAAATATCTCCAACCTTTGATACAAAAAAGAATAAGAGATTTCCAAAGAGAAATAAAAATCTTCTCAGATCCAAATGAGACCCTGACTGAAGCCGTTCTAAAATGCTGCTGAAAATAACATAACTGCATAATTTTATCTTGACATACGAAAAAATAATACATCTTATCTTTTCAATAGTCAATTTTTATCCATAAAATACCATATTTAGTTGAGTACTTAATAGCATATTTTTTAATATATTTGCTATTAGTTTCAACCATTTTGTTTTTCAATCTCAAAGATTTTTAGTCTTAATTGAAAGTGAGAAAAATATAAGAAATAACTTTTATATTATGTTCGTTAAATTTTTTTTTTAATAGAGTTAAAGAATGACTCAAAGTAAAAGAAAAGTTAAATAGATAAAAGAGATAATTGTCACATAATTTATTTTTATTCACCACCACGAGTCAATGGTTACAATAAATTTTTTCACACTTAAGATTTAAGATATAATTTGTTACACATAATTTGTATTATTATACTTTGTGTACTGTGTTAATAGTCTTTATATTGAATTTTATTATTTAAGTGGGAAACTATTAAAGAATAACCTATTTTTATCTTTAGAGAATGGACTTTTAGAGGAAAAGATTTTTTTTGTCATCTGATCATAAGAATTTGGTCTTATATCATATGATCAAGACAAACTTATTTTTGGTGGAGGAACTAGATGATTCTTTGTTAGATTAGTTTATAGAAGACCATAGTACTAAGAGGATGTTGAGCTTGTTCCATCTATTGCTTAGAAAGACTCTTCATAACATGTTTCACACGCTCATTACCACAGAATACATATCTTACCATGGTTGGGAGAAAGATTTACTACGGACGGTGGTGCGTATTAAAGTAAGGTGAGATTGTATGTGCCCTCTTTACCACCACATGCTACTAGTCATGGTAAAAACACAATAGCGTGTAAGATACCACTACAGTTGTATTAAACAACCATATTATAATGTTAAGGTCAGGAGTTTGATACCCAACTTCAGGATTTTTGCATATTTCAATACATTTTACCATGGTTATATATCCCAACTGTGGTGAAAGACTTAGCGCACAATATTTCACTACGGTTATGGATTCCAACTGTGGTGATATGGTTACTTGAGTTTAGAAGAAGGAGAAATTCAACGAGCAAAGATTCTTTATGGTGCTAAGAATCCTTCAAAAAATAGAGTTGAAGACAATCAGGAAGATTATGAAAACTAAGTAGATTATGATACTGAAGAAAATCTCTGAATTACTAAGATCTTTAGTAAAGTCGTGAGAAAACCATATATGAAATCTAGGAATAATGTCTCTACAAATGTTCAAGATAATCAACAACACAACTTCAATAGGTGTAAAATTCAGCACAAAGGAAAAGACGATGAAAGACAAGATCTCAACTATTATTACAAAGGCAAGATGCTAAAGTTTTCTAAGGAATCAAAGAAAAAATTACCATGTCGCTAATGATAAGATAAATGAAGAAGGTGAATTTGATCAAACAAAGAGTGTTATGACTTTCAAAGACATGAAATGTGTCTTATATACTGGCGAGCCATCAAATTCAAAGAATATGTGTGTTACTCTCTTTTAGAAAACATAATGCATAATGTCAGATACATAAACTAAGCTATAGCATATAAAACTTGGGAGTATAAGGAACTTTGTTACAGAGAAAGTTGTCATATGTAAGTCTAATATTAAAATTAAAGAAGGTAAACTTTATGACGTTTCTAAAGTTGGGAAGCAAACCAAGATATCGTATAATATGCTTTAACATCTTACTTGTGTTTTTGAATTACCACTAATGGACTTTATGAGACTCAAGAAAGGAGTTTTCATTGAAGGGAAAGATGATGGTCAGGCTGGAGGTCCTCCCAATATTGAACAACCAATGGTGGTCCAGAAGCAGAAGTTAAATAAGATTGTGATTATGGAATAATTAATCCTATTGGGATTCCTTCTTATATTTCTATATTTTTCACTATTCAAAAACATGATATTGTGTTTGATAAAGCTGAAATTGATGTTCATCTTAGTCAGTTAAATTTCAGTGATTAAACTGTATGTCAGGAAACATGTCCCAAATTGTGTTCCCTATAATAGTCCATATTTTAGTGATGTTACCCTTGAGAATAATTATGTGAGTGATTATGATCATGTCCATGAATATGTTAAGGTTGATATTGTTGTATCCCATGTTGGTGTTGTTAATAACAATAACGAGAAAAGAAAATATGCATCAAAAGGAGGGAAAAAAAAGGAACATGTAGTAGATGATATGAAGAAAGATGTTGAGACATTGTGTGAAGACGTGATATGTAGTGATGAAAGCATATTTCTAGGGTGTTACATTAATAACACGGTGTATACAATGTTTAACAAGCACACAAAGTGTATAATAGAATTCATAAAAGTCTTTGTTAATGATTTTAAAATTGAAGTAGAAGATGAGGAAGATGACGTGAAGGACATTCTGCATGACATTGTGGTACATGCTCTCAAGAAAAACAAGAAAGTAGTTGGTGGAAAAAAGATTTCCATAAATGTTCCTATTCATCCCTTATACAATGTGTCTTTCCATTATGAGGAAATTGTGCTGAAGTGGAAAAAGGTGTATCACAAGAGGATATCCCTTGAAAGGAAGTTGTCAAAGAAAGCTTTGACATGAAGAGGTTATTGAGCTGATGGAGGATGCAATTGTGAAAGATAATGGAATTCTTATGATGATTCAAATTTATGTTGATGACATATTGGTGACTGAATTTCCAACTCAGAGGAAGGATGAGCTGGTTGCTCTTATTAATTATGAAGTGAATAGAAAGCTTGTTCAAACAAGTGACTTTGAGACAAATGATGAAGAAAATGTCATGGACATTGTGCACACTATAAGAATAAAGGTTAGTGGGAAGATATTTCTTGTGAGTTCTCTTCTCCTCACATGGATAATGTTTCATTTCATTCTGAAACAAGTTTTCAAAAGTGGAAGTATGTTTTCTAAAGAAGAGAGCTAAATAAATAAGATCTTGATTGTAAAGAGATTATAGAGTTACTGAAAGCAATTGGGTTAATGAAAATTGTAATTGATGTTGGACCTTGCTATGAAAATATGGTCAAGGAATTAATTGTAAACATTAATTTTGAGTGTATTGTTTAAGGCAATAAGGAGTATAGAAAGGTGTATGATAGAGGAAAGTGTGTGAAGTTTCAACCTTTAAATATTAATGATTATTTGGGCAGAAGCATGTCTGCATGGTCTGATAAGGTTCCCTTTATTGACAAGATTATTACTAAGGAAAAGGAAGTCGAGGAATTAAGAGGAAACTGCAAGTGAGGATGAAGAAGAACATTATGTTAAAAAAATGAAGTATAATGAAATTATGGAGCTTTCTCGTGATGCTCAGTTATTGAAGACAATGCTGGAATTTAGAGCTTGTTATCCTAAGTAGATGAAGGAATTTATGGTTAAGAATTATGGTATTCCTCATTAGTTGTTGAATTTTAGTTACAAGTTGGTTGTTGGGAAAGATGTTTTATACATTAGTCCTCTCAATGTTCTTGTTATTGATGAATCTGATTTTGGTAATATGCTAAGTCTGCAATAAGAAGAAATCTACTACTGCATCACTAGTTTTCTGTACCAAGTAAGAACTGATGCTACCTTGGAATATGGATAATGTTATCTGTGTCAATTGGTTAAACATGTTGAGTCTCACAACATCCAACCACTTATTTGTGTTCCCTCTCTAATATGTGATATTTTGAGTGTTCAAAAGAAATACATTGATATTTGTGATGATGAAATTGGTGTTGCCCCAAGTGTTTTGACTTTGAGTTACATACTGAATATTGGGAAAGGTGTGACAGACATTATTACCAATATATGTGCACCTGTCGATGAAATTGATCTGATTTTGGTGGATAAAATTTATAGTTTTTTCACCTCAACTTGTTGTTGCTACTGCAGTTTTATGGCATGTGTTCTTGTTATGTAGTACTTGTGCCCATTTGGGCTGGTTTTTTCTCTTACCTTGTGTAACGCGCGTAATTTAATTAATTATTTAATTAAATTGTTTTTTTTTGGGAATATTTGTGAAGTTGTATTGTTGTGTTATGATGATAATTGATGTGTTGTAATTAGTTGGATTTAATTATTTTATTAAGTTGTTGGATAATATTAGAACAATAATATTATTTGATGTGGGCTTGTTTTAAAGGATAGAAGTAGTAAGAAGGGGGTGTGGTAGTCTTAAGTCCATTAAGGTATTTTGATAATAATAATAGAGTTATTTTATTATTGTTAGAAATAATAGAAAAGAAGAAGTGGTAAGAGAGAAAGAAATAAGGGTTAGAAGAAGAGAAAGAACGTGAAAGTTGTTGGAAAGGAGGAAAAGAGGCAGAACAGGAATCAACCAGAAAAGTTATAGAGCAACCTTCAATCCAAGATAAGGGTGGGGTTCTGACTCTATAATAGAGTTTATGATGATTGGTTTATGGGATTATATGTGAAAATGTTGTCTTGTTAATGATTGGATTAAATGTTGTTGCTTGATGAGAATCGATGATTGAAAGATGAATGATGATGTCCTAATGCTGTATATTTGATGTAGAATTATAGGATAATTATAATTGATGATTGTCTATGATTAGAAGATGTTTTTAGGGCCTAAAGTATGGAAACCGTAGTGAAAACGCAGTGAAATCGCAAAAAATATCCATGACATAACAGTATGTGTCGACCCCAAATGTTATGTGTCGATACAAGAAGGCCTTTAGACTCAGGATGAGTCGACACGAAGGAGTCCTGTGTCGATACATGAGGGCTTTTAGACTCAGGATGAGTCGATACATAGGAGCATGTATCGATACATGCAGTGTTGCAGACTCAGTATAAGTCGATACAAGAGAGTATGCGTCGACTCATGTAGCGTGTTCAGTTCAGTACGTGTCGACCCAAGGCATTACGCGTCGATCCATGTTGTCTGGTTTTTACAGAATCATTTTGAAAGGGCTGTAACTTGAGTTTTCGGACTCCGTTTGAGGTGTCGTTCGAAGCGTTGAATAGCTAACGCGGTGAACTTCATTCTTAAGGATTAAAATGAAGAGCAGGAAGGATAATCCTAGTATCCAAATTAGGATTAGAGTTAGTACCCGTGTTAATCGTTATATTGATTTTTGTGAAGAACGATGATGAGGATAAGATGGTTATAGATTTCGGTTTGGTTCGTAACAACAAGATTAATGAGGATAATAATGTATTATTACATAATAATATGTAGAGGTTGGTTAATTAGAAGTAAGCCTTAGACGATTAATTAATTATAGGCGATATCATGTTGTAAGCCTAGGGCCAACGTTGCGAGATTGACGATCTACTGTTGCATTGTTGTATGGCTGAGTTGTTAATGATAAATGACATTTGGTGAATTATGATGTTTGATGAACTATGATATATAAATGACGTTTGGTTAATTATGATGCATAAATGATGTTTGATCATTTATGATTATAAATGATGTTGATGAACGATGTTGACGAAAGGTGTTGAGATGCCTCTAATAATTGGCAGCTATTAAGATGTAGGCTTCTGGTCAACGATGATATTGTATTGAGATGTTGTAATTATGGCATTGTCATTACATTCATGATTGTGTCGCATACATTGCATTTCAAGATGGAGCTTATGCTCGTTAAGATGGTCTGTATTGGCGAATATTAAGATGAAGGCTTATGCCTTGTTAATGCCTCTATTTATTGGCAGATTTTTAAGATGGGAGTTCTACTCCAATGGTACTACATGCATTGCATAGTATTGAGTCGCATTATATGATTGCATAAAGAAGTTGTGTATTGATGTGGTGAATGTGTATTATCGTTGGTATTTCTGTTGCGATTATTGTTGTTTATAAGATGAGAAGTTGTGATGTTATGTGGTCTAATTTAATATATTAATTATCATACATTTTATTATATTGTTAGATATCTCACCCCTTTTGTTTGAATGTTACCCTTACGTTGGTAACGTGCAGGTAATCGAGAGTGAAGGTTGTATATCTTCAGTAGTTCGAGTCGGTGTCATTGCTCTGATACGTAACACTCGGGGGGATGAACGCTTGTTGCTTTTAATTGTTCATTATCCCAGTTCTTGAACTTCAATTTGATTGTTGTTAAGTATGTGTTGTTTTGAAGTTGCTGTAATGATGGACAAATATGTTATTAAGAATTCCATTGCGTAGATGTTTAAGCTGTTGAATTATTTAATTAAAGTATTATGTTGATGGTTCATCCGAAGTTTTAAAGTGTTATGTATCCACGATGAATGTGATGTGTTTTTAAAGTTGAATTTATGGCATCTTGATTCGTTTGCATGAATTTTACGACTCTGATTTATTCATATAATTACCGGGTAAAATTGGGGTGTTACAAAGTTGGTATCAAAGCAAAGGTTGGTCCGTCCGACCTAGTTGTCGAGTCGTAGCTGTCTAACAATCGAGTATTGTTAATTTGAGTTTTAACTGTTGTTTATGTTGTAGTGATAAGTTGAGATGTCTGGAAGGAATGATGCTACACTTGCTGTTGCTTTAGAAGAAATGGATCATGGGATGGAGAATCAACCGAATATTGACGGGAATGTTGGATCTCGTAGCTTGGTGACTTTCCAGAGGGAGAATCCTCCTATGTTCAAGGGAAAGTATGATGCTGACGGAGCATTGGATTGGTTGAAAGAGATTGAGAGAATCTTCTGTGTTATGGACTTCACTCCAGCGCAGAAGGTTCGATATGGTACTCATATGCTAGCATTCGAGGCTGATGACTGGTGGCTAGAGACTTGTCAGAGATTGGAAGCTGCAAGTGAGAATGTCACTTGGGCTGTGTTCCGTAGGGAAATTCTGAGGAAGTATTTTCCTGAAGATGTTCGTGGTAAGAAGGAGATTGAGTTCCTTGAGCTAAAGCAAGGGAATATGTCGGTCGTTGAGTATGCTACAAAGTTTTCTGAGTTGGCTAAGTTTTATCCGCACTACGCTGAGGCAGATGTTGAGTTTTCGAAGTGTATCAAGTTTGAGAATGAGTTGCGCCCAGAGATCAAGAAGGCAGTTGGATACCAGAAGATCCGTGTCTTTGCTGATTTGATTGATATTTGCAGGATTTATGAGGAGGATAATAATTCTCATTACAAGATTATCAGTGAGAAGAGGGGTAAACACCAACAGAATTGTGGCAAGCCTTATGATACCCCAGCTGGTAAAGGTAAACAGAAAGTTGCTCAGAGTCAGAGGACTAGTGAGGGAGATGCTCCTATTGGTGTGGTTTGTTTTAAATGTGGGAAACCTGGGCATAAGAGTAATGTGTGTACTACTGAAGTAAAGAGGTGTTTCCGTTGCGGTAAGAATGGACATGTTGTATCTGAGTGCAAGCATAAGGATGTGATTTGTTTCAACTGTAGTGAAGAAGGGCACATTGGTAGTCAGTGTCAGAAACCAAAGAGGGCGCAGACAAGTGGTAAAGTGTTTGCTTTGGTTGAGGATCAAGCAGTTATTGAGGACAGACTTATCAGAGGTACATGTTTCATTAATAGTACTCCTTTAATTACTATTATTGATATCGGTGCTACTCATTGTTTTATTGCTGTTGATTGTGTTGAAAGATTGGGTCTTATGTTGTCCTATATGAATAGAGAGATGGTTGTCGATACTTCATCCAAGGGGTCGGTGACTACTTCTTTTGCGTGTTTAAAGTGTCCCTTGTCGATCTTTGACAAAGACTTTGTTGTTGATTTGGTTTGTTTACCGTTAAGAGGGTTGGATATGATTTTGGGTATGAACTGGTTAGAGCATAACTATGTTCATATTAACTGTTATGACAAGTCTGTGAGGTTTTCTACTCCTGAGGAAGAGGAAGATAGTCTGTTGTCTGCTAGACAGTTGAGGAAGTTGATGTAAGAAGAAGCACATATTTTCTCGTTGATGGTGTCGCTATCTATAGAGACTCAAGCTATAATTGAGGAATTACAGGTGGTGTGTGAATTTCCTGAAGTTTTCCCCGATGAAATTCATGATGTACCGCCAGAGTGGGAAGTTGAATTTGCTATTGATCTTGTACCTGGTACCAGACCTGTGTCTATGGCACCATACATGATGTTTGCATCTGAATTATCAGAGTTAAAGAAGCAATTGGGAGAGTTACTCGGAAAAAAGTTTGTGAGACCAAGTGTATCACCGTGGGGTGCTCCAGTGTTGTTAGTAAAGAAGAAATATGGAAGTATGAGACTTTGTGTTGATTATAGACAGTTGAATAAAGTGACTATTATGAACAAGTATCCGCTTCCAAGAATAGATAACTTGATGGACCAATTGGTGGATGCTCGTGTGTTTATTAAGATTGATTTGAGGTCAGGTTACCATCAGATCAAGGTGAAGGATGAAGATATCTAGAAGACAGCTTTCAGAATGCGTTATGGACATTACGAGTATTCGGTGATGCCTTTCGGTGTTACTAATGCGTCAGGAGTATTCATGGAATATATGAATCATATCTTTCATACTTATTTAGATCGGTTCATAGTGGTGTTCATTGATGACATTCTGATTTACTCAAAGTCAGAAGAAGAGTATGTTGAACACTTAAGGGTAGTATTGCAAGTTTTGAAAGAGAAGAAGTTATACGCAAAGCTGTCCGTGTGAATTCTGGTTAAAGGAGGTTAGTTTTCTTGGTCATGTGATTTCAGATAGAGGCATTGCTATAGATCCATCGAAGGATGATGTTGTGTTGCAATGGGAAACCCCAAAGTCAGCTACTGAGATTAGAAGCTTTTTGGGATTAGCTGGTTATTATAAAAGGTTTATCGAAGGCTTTTCTAAGTTGGCACTTCCGTTGACTAAGTTGACTTGTAAAGGTAGAGCTTTTGTGTGGGATGTTCAGTGCGAAGAAAGTTTTACAGAATTGAAGAAGAGGTTGAGTTCGGCTCCGATTTTGACATTGCCTAATCCAGGAGAGCCCTTTGTGGTATATTGTGATACTTCTAAGATGGGTTTAGGAGGT